TCTTGCGTCTCAAACTGTTCAAAGCAACTAATGCACATTATTTGTAGATATTACTATCAGTTATTCTTTAAAAAATATTCCTTTCAGAGTGGAACACTACTCCTATTAACTGGTTACAGTTTCAGTGCTAAATATAACAAATATTTATACGTAGTAGTAAGGAAGTAGTAGTAAGGAAGTAATAAGGACCTTCTCTGCTGTAGCCCCCGCCCTTTGGAATGTCTTGCCCCCAGAGGTGAGATTGGCCCCCCCACTCCCGGCCTTCCGGAGGGATTTGAAAACCTGGCTCTGCCACTCGGCCTGGGGTGGGGAGGGAGGACATCATGTGTGGGGATGGCTAGCCCCATAGAGGCCTGGCGTCTGCAGCTCTGAAAACCATCAGCCTCTTGGACTTTTTCTTTTCTTTTAGTAACGTTTTGCACAGTTTTTATGTTTTAGGTAATTTTATATATATTTATTGTTTTAATGGGTTATGTGAGCCGCCCAGAGTCCCCCATCAGGGGAGATGGGCGGAGATCAAACAAACAAACAAACAAACAAATATTCTGCCTTTCTGTCTAAAGGCATTTGCTCCCTCAAAGAATTAGGGCTGAATTCTGCAAATGTTTGTATCCATAAAGACTATACTTCTTGTAGGTCATCCAAAGTAGCAAAACTTCAATATACTTTTAGGTACTACTAACTCAGAGTGTATCCCTTCTTCTTCTTTTTTACAGTACATTTGGTTGAAATGAATAGTGACAGGGCCAGCAATGGTATCAAGTCACAAAAGCTCTCTCTTATTCCTTAGTCTTCCCATAATAGCTCTCGAGAGTACTTGCAAGAGAAGCTGAGTGAGAGACCACCACGCCTTCACGTCTTGCTTGTGGCTTTTCTAGAGACATCTGACTGATCAATGGAGAAACAACACTTGGCTAAATAGACTTTGTTTTAATCTTTTAGTAAAGTAGGTGGTGTTCTAGCATTTATTTTCCTGCATACCACCTAATACATACCTTCCTCTGCCTCTAAAAATTGCATAGACTGGGAATGCCTGGCACTTTTATCAGTTACTGTTGTTACGTAATGGAAAAAGTTGCACTTGATGATTTTTTACAGAATTCTTGAAAGTATAGGAGCTCTCTCAGGATCTAGATGCTAGAGATTCTAAAAACTAATCAAATCTAGACAACTTTTGGCTTTAAAAGTTATGTCATTGTTTAAACAATTATCATCAGGGAACTACTGGCTGTATTTAAGCAGAACTTTACAAGGTCTTCTCCAGAGAAAAAACAAGAAAGCCATCAAGTAATCCATGTCAAAAACTCAACATTTAGCCCTAGATTGTAAACATAGTTTTATTGCCATTCACTCATCACAAGGTAATTCTTCCTCTCAACCATGAGAAAAACAAGGTGGTAGCCTATGTAGGCATGTGTGAAGACTACACGCCACTGTTCTTTAAAACTAGCTATAGTTCTTAGACTGACAGTCCCAGATGTGCTCATTTCAAATGGACACTATTATGATTATCTCCCAAAGTTTACCCTGGAGAAAAAAGATATTAAATTAGAATGGGTTGAGTCCATCCAACCCAGTAGATACAAACACAGGTACTGAGCTTAATATCAGAGTAATAGTATTAGTTCATAAATTAAAAATACAAAAAACCCCCACATCTATTTCAATTGTTTTTTTCTCTTCAGAAACTCATTCAGATTGATAACTGTCCAGCATCTATACGTAGAAACTCCATGTCATGTATTCCCAACTTATATCCACTTATGAAAGAAAGAAAGAAAGAAAGAAAGAAAGAAAGAAAGAAAGAAAGAAAGAAAGAAAGAAAGAAAGAAAGAAAGAAAGAAACTATCAAATAAACCCACACCTGGTCTTCTGCATGCCTGGAAGATATGTACAAGGCAAAAGTTCCATTCAGTTGTAAGCATCCAGTTTTTAAGTAATTTCAACGTTTTTCCTCCATTTTTCAAAAAAGGAACTGAATATTCGGAGCTTCGGATGTAGGTTCTTTCATTCGAAAGAGCTCCACTCAAGAAATGGAGAGCATAAAATGCCAATAAAATAAATGGTGTCTTCAGTAATCAGAAGCCTGCTGCAGACACATCTGGATCTGCTACAAGTATTCTAGCTCTAGCGCATGCCGCAGAGCCTCGAGATCAGCATGGCAGGAGATCCTCCAGAAAGGCATGTTGTGCTAAAATTATGTGTTTTAAAAAGAAGAAAAAAGTTCAGAAGACATTTCCTAAACCAACAAACAGTGACATTTTTAGAAATACGATAAGCAAGCTTAAATCACATAGAATTGAGAAGCAATCTGAGAAATAGAAAATAAATAATGTATGGATGTGTGTGTGGAGGGAAGCAAAACCAATTGTCATGCACTAATATTCTATAAAAAGCCAACAAAACTGTTTTCTCACAGCCTTTTCACACAGCATTTCCCTCAGTGATTTCAAAAATGTTTCCTCTATTGTGGAACTCCACGTGAAACACGTCAGATTGAAAACGTTCTTACTACATGCAACCGGGCTGCATCTTAGTACCCGAGACACGCCCCCCACCCCCAACAGAGAATTCTGCATACCAAATAGCATGTCGCTGTCTTTTGGGTTAAGGGAGATATGTTGTAATGTGACTTTGATTTCTTGTTTTCCAGACATTTTGAGAAAAGCCAAATTCAAAAAGATCAAGCTGTTTTAACTTCAATGAGAAAACCATGTCCTAAATATGTACACCAACTTTTGTTCTCATCTACCTGGAAAACACGTGACCTCCTTCTACTACAATTTTAAAGAAAGATACCGGAGACCAACTGGAACATATTGTTGAAATACAGAATATCTGCAGCCAACTCATTCATTTTTGTTTTATGCTTTCGGTTTTCCTAAACAAGTAGCGTATTTTGTTTTACCTGTTTGAGTGCTGGGTGGATAAATTACAAAACATTTTCAACGAGATTGTCTGTGTAGTTCTTACTAAAGATTGAATAGCCTTGTGCTATTATATGCTTATTGCACAGGGATAAACACCAACCTTCCCTAACCAGAAGTCTTCCAGAGACGCTGGGTTTACAGTACTCAGGATTCACAGCTGAATTTTGGTAGCATCACTCTCAACACGAGGTCAGCAGCAAGTTAATAAAGATTGGTCTACAGCAGTGTTGTCCAAACTTGGCCACTTTAAGATGAGTGGACTTCAACTCCCAG